TGTCCCATGCTTGGCTGGTCTGTCAAAGGGCGGTCAGAAAAGACGCACCGCTGCTGCGAGACTAAGTACCCCACGAGAGTCGAGGTGACCAACTCATCTGGGCCACCGACAGCTGCAAAGTCCAGCTCGTCGAGCTTTTGTCTCAAGCTACACCAAGTTTTCTCCATGCGGTCAGCATCACTGACGCTCTCTGGCGGCTCGTGCAAAGCTCGTACTTGCGAGGCCAGCTGCAAAGACAAAGTGCTGGAAATCCACATCGCAAAGAGCCTCTTTTCGATCTGGGGCCAGATCTGCTGCTGCACTTCCTGCACCTCCAAGCCCTCAGGCTCTGCTCCCTCTTCAGTGTTGGAGTACTGCTCCAAGTTTGCACGGTTCACGAAGCCGCAGTATCCTTCGGGAGTCAGGCCACCCGGGCGCAACGCCGCGGAGCCTCCATCTTCGACTGGCCGGCGCAGTCGGTTCAGGGCACGCTCGAGACGCCGGCGCGAGACCAGAAAAGGTACTCGCTGCTTCCTGTGCACATCCTTGCTGCAGCGGCGTATCAGGAGCATTTTCATGTCTCCAACTGCAGCAGGAATGTCTCGCACGAACTGCGGGCCGTTTTGAAAAAGGTTGCCCACGTGGCCTCGCAGCTCACACTGGCCCGTGCCGTACAGCGTAAAGATCCGCACCAAGTGCTGGATCGGGGACAGGATCTCTTCCTCGAAGAAAGTCAGGGCATCGATCTCCGGGAGAGTCTCTCCCGGATCTGCGTGGTTGGCCGCCGTCAAGCGGAACGGCTCCTTGGGCAACATCGCCTTGGCACGTTCCTTGGCTTCGTGCAAGCAGTTCTCACAGATTGGCTTGCCGGCTTCCAGCCAATCGGCCTCAGGTGCCCGACAGAAGTTGGTCTTCTGAAACGCTTGGGTCTCGAAGCCTCCGGGCAGGCCACTCTTGCCTTTGCCTGCGGCAATGCCGAACCAGCCTTCCTTGCAGTAATGGCAGTCCTGAAACTCCATGCTCAGCATGTAGGAGTCCACCTCATGCACACGGTGGAAAAACGGCATTATGCGGGCTTCGGCGTCCATGCTGTTGCCGTACAACTGCCGTAAGCTCTTTGGCAGCCGAGGCCGCGGCAAGTGGTCCCCTAAAACTGTCTCACTGGCGTGCAGCTTTGGCTCATGCCATGCCTTTAATGGCATGTGTTCCACTTCGATGAGAAGCGGCTGCAGCGCCCTGCGAACACGCTCTTGGTCCACCAGGGACAGATGGCACCAAGTTCTCCGGAGGAAATCATAGCCGAAGCGAAAATCATCATCGGCTTTCTTGCCATGGCCGCTGAACAGCTCCTCGGCACAAGTAGCTCGCAGTGCCTGCAGCTCGGCCTTTCTTTGCTGAAGCATAGTCAAAAACTTTTCGACCAGAGCGGTTTCGGAGACACACAAGTCACGCTCCCAGCCTTGCACGAGTGCTTCTTGCTCCGGCGACAGATGCTGTCTGTATCTTTTGAGAAACATAGCACAAAAGGAAGAGCTTACATCAGCTCCCTGGTCAAGGCTTTGCAATGCCTTCACCAGGGAGCTCTTTTCTTGAGCTCGCAGCACGGCAGAGTAAGCTTGGACAAAAGCACTCAGCCTTGCAAAGCTTCGTTGAAGGCCGGCCAGAAAAGGCGCAGCCTCCAACTTGGACTTGTCACAAAGCACAAACTCCCAGTCTTCTAAATGCTCTTTCTGGTCGGCATTCAACAATGCCACGTGCCTGTCGAAGAAATTCTTAGCTTGCTTCCAACGTGTGTCGGAATTCGCGCGGTTGCTGCTGACAACAGCTGACAAGCTTTGCTTCTGTAGCTGAGCAATTTCAACAGCATTCTGAGCGAAGAAGGCTTGCACTTCGACAAAGGCAGGAGCACGACGCGATGCTGCAGCTTCTTTTGCCGCAGCACTCACTTGACACAACTCAGCTTCCTTTGCAAGCAAAAAATCCTTTTCCGCAGACGCCAAGCGGTCGCTATAGCGCAGCAGGAAAACACGGCAAAAGCTCGACATTTGAAATTCCTGCATGTGTCGACTCTGCAAAGCTGCCAGCAAGCTTGGCTTGCTTGAGTATCTTATCGCCTCTGCCGTCTCTGTCAAAAATGCCTCCACGCGGCAAAAGCAGCGTTGAAGGCCGGCCAGAAAAGGCGCAGCCTCCAACGTGGACTTGTCACAAAGCACAAACTCCCAGTCTTCCAAAATCTGCTGCTGAGCTGGCTCCAAGCTTGAAAGTTTTCGTCTGCAGAAATTTCTGGCTCGCTCCCACTCTGGTACCTGACTGCGCCGCTTGCTGTTGAGCAAAGCTGTAAGCGTCGGCTTCTTCATTTGCACAAGCTCCTGCGAGTAGGCTGCCAAAAACGCCACCGTCTTATCAAATGCGTCTGCCATGGCGTCCGGAGCGGTCAGAAAAGACGCGCTCCACCGTGCGGGATACACAAGGAAACGATGTCACTGGCATGTGTCTGTGGAAGTATATGCGTTCTGTGGGAACACAAACTAAAAAAAAAACATCAAGAGGTTGTCCGCCTGAGCGTGATGCTGGTAGGTCGGCTGGTGACAAACAACAAACTAGAACATTAACATGTTCTCGGCCTGTGTGTGGTGCTGGTGGGAGTGCTGGTGAAAGTGTAGTGGTGGTAGTGGTGGTGGTGATGTGAGTTGCCGCTCCGCGATTGAAGCCGGGACATGAACAAACATGAACAGTGGTGGTGGTGATGCTAGTGATGCTGGTGACGAAAACCGGGACATTGAACAAACATGACATACGCGGAGCAACTGACAAGACAGAGCCGAAACGCCACACGGTCACAGCGACATTACCTCCCTATCTATCTATCTATCTGTCTATCTACCTATCTATCTGCCTGTCTACCTCTCTATCTATCTGTCTACTTGTCTCTCTATCTTTCCAGCTTTCTATCTATCTATCTATCTATCTATCTGTCTGTCTGTCTATCTATCTAGAGCGCGACTAACTCAACAGGGCAGCGTAGGATGCCTTGCGCGTTGCCATTCCAATGCGTTTTACCACTGCCAAGCTGCATTCCATCTTAGAAATGCGCACCGCGCGCAAGCGCCACGCATTTTTTCCAAATTGGATGAAAGCCTTGCGCGTTGCCATTCCAATGTGTTTTACCACTGTCAAGCTACATTGCATCTTAAAAAACGCGCACCGCGCGCAGGCGCCACGCATTTTTCCAAGTTAGATAAAAGCCTTGCGCGTTGCCATTCCAATGCGTTTTACCGCTGTCAAGCTACATTGCATCTTAAAAACGCGCACCGCGCGCAGGCCGCGTGCGATTTTTGAAAGTTGGAGCTTCCAAAAGTAGCCCGACCCTCTCAGGTTTTTACGATTTTGACTTCCAAATGTGCACCGCGCGCAGGCCGCGTGCGATTTTTGAAAGTTGGAGCTTCCAAAAGTAGCCCGAGCATGTAGTGTTTTTACGATTTTGACTTCCAAATGTGCACCGCGCGCAGGCCGCGTGCGATTTTTTGCCAGCAATTCCGACCAAAGGCTCCGCACCCGCCGCTTTACCGAAGTAACTTCTGGGCCGTCTGGAGGCTCAAAACATTGAAAAATACAGCATTTCGCGACCTTTCTAACATTTCGCACACCATGCTTCATCTTTCTTCATCGCTTCTTCATCTTTCTTCATCGCTTCTTCATCTCTTCTTCTCTCTCTCTCTCTCTATCTCTCGCTCTGCACTGCTCTGCTTGAGTTGTCGATATTGTCGGAAGTTAGACTTCTAAACTTCCTTCGATAATTCACATGTTTGCTTATTCTTATTGTGGTTTAGAGGGAAATCCAAATCCACTTAACTGCTAAAATTCACATGTTTGCTTATTCTTATTGTAGTTTAGAGGGAAATCCAAATCCACTTAACTGCTAAATTTCACATGTTTGCTTATTCTTATTGTAGTTTAGAGGGAAATCCAAATCCACTTAACTGCTAAAATTCACATGTTTGCTTATTCTTGTTGTAGTGTAGAGGGAAATCCAAATCCACTTAACTGCTAAAATTCACATGTTTGCTTATTCTTATTGTAGTTTAAATGGAACTCCAAATCCATTTGCTTATTCTTATTGTAGTTTAGAGGGAAATCCAAATCCACTTAACTGCTAAAATTCACATGTTTGCTTATTCTTATTGTAGTTTAGAGGGAAATCCAAATCCACTTAACTGCTAAAATTCACATGTTTGCTTATTCTTATTGTAGTTTAAAGGAAAATCCAAATCCACTTAACTGCTAAAATTTAGTTTTTTGCTCCCCTTCCAACGTCAGCCAAGTGAAGGTGTCAAGAAAGGACCAAATTTTCCAGGTTCCGAGTGTTTCCGGTTGGAAATCGGCTGGAAAGGGGGCAGAAGTAAAGAAGGAAGGAAGGCGCTCTACAGCAGTCTCAGTTTAGGGGGCTTGTGAACAAAAATCCTGGTCGACCTAGGGGGGGGGCTTTGCTAATTAGGGGCAATTGTTTGGTTCCATTTTTCATGGTCGGAATGCCGGGGTCGGGCCTTTTGGTCAGGCCTTTTGGGGGGGGTTTTCTTTTCGTTAAAACCCTTCCTGGAAACCCCCGAAGACAGGTGTGCCATTCAATTTCCTTTTCGGCTTTTCGGCATGAATCCTTGAGAACACTTGGAGTTTCAAAGGCAGCTCTTCAGCACCCTTTGTTTCCCAAGCCAAATTTTCAGCCACCTGCCGCTACAAATTCTAGGTCCCCCAGCTAGGTGCCCTTTCTCACCCTTTTTTGGGCTGGGAGGGGAACTCCCTACTAAAATAGACTACAGAAAAAATAGGGTACCAACTTATTCCAACCTCTCTACTGGAGGACCTAGCCAAAGGTTCAGCCACCCGCCAGTCTCACTTCCTGAGTTCATGAACTTTAAGCTTTTGGGAAGACCATTTTAGTGGTAAATGTAAAGTTTGGACTTTTTTTGGGCCATGTACTCAGCCAGTACAACTTGGAGCTATCTGGCTTTCGTTTGAGACAGGCGCCTGGGTACCGTGGCCCCGGTCCCCGCTCCGGTTGCTGAGTCTGGCGGCTAGCCGCTTGGCACGGGTGGCTTTGCAATCCGCAGATGTCCTGGCATGGATGCAATTGGGACATCCGCAGATGTTCTCTTCAATTGGCAGAAAATTCAGCTTCAACAAGTCTGTGCATGAAAGTTGCACCTTGCCAGATGCTGAAAGTGTTGGGTCTGTGCATGAAATGTCTACCTTGGCAGATGCTGAAAAAAGCGTGTTTTTTTTTTTTTGGTGTGACTCCTGCCAGATCCTCAGCATCTTTGTTGCTCATGTTTTTTGTTCTTTGCTATTCATCAAGCCCCAAGCCATCCCATGGCCTCAAAACCTCCACACTGGACCTCGCTCGCCCTCCTGAGCCCTGAGTCCGCCCCGGAGACCCTCCTCGATGTCAAAGTCACGGACGAACTCGGGGCTCGGCGCTCAGCGCGGCGGTCAGTTTTTGAAGAGGGGGGGGTGAAAACGAGCTTTCACCTGGGGATCCAACAAATCTGAGTTCAGCTTTTCGAATTATAGTTTAACAGTTGCAGATCATCTAGAGCAAATTTGCCGTGGATGGACAAAATCCATTTCGCACCAGTTGGAAGGTGGTTTTTCCCAGTATTGGTACGCTGGCGTATATCCCAAGTGGTGCAGGATTTCGTCCACCCACAGTATCACTAAAAGGGGGACCCGTGATTGCAGTCCTTCAGACTCGTTTGAAGTTGGCTTTAGGCTGGCTCCTCACTTGCCTGTGGTCATATGACAGTTCCAGCCTGTATTCTAACACCTAAGTTCAGCGGGACCTTTCCAGACAGCTCCTTGATGGTTTGATTAAAATGCCCTTGGCATTTTCCGTGTGGGTTCGTTCGGATCGTTGGGCAAAAGGCAGGTCACTTCGAGTGCTCGGGGCATATGTTTTGCCGCAGGATGAAGATCTATTGCGTGCGTTGCACTCGGAGTTGTTGCTTTGCTGTTGCGCTGTGAGAGCTTCGTTGCTGAAAATGCAGCACAGATTGTGTCATCGCAATGTGGACTCCCAATCCGAAGGCGTATTCTGGTTGTTTGGCCTTATCACTACTTGGTGGCTCCCAGCCATCCCCTTAGCCTTTTATTTTAGCCTTTTAGTGTTTAGTGGTAAATTCCATTTAACCCACTGAAAGTTAAACTTTTAGCGGGGGATTTGAGGGCAGCCCAGACTACTAACCATTTCCCTTTAGACATCTTGGGGCCTTGGAGGGGGCCGTGAGGGTGGGATCCCAAGTCAGACTTTGGCACGGAGGCGACTGAGCTCGCCGCAAGACATCGACCATCCTTGGGACCGGGCGACTTTGGGTGGGCGGAAGGGCGAAAGTGCGGACTTTGGGTCGCCAGATGTGCGCAATGAAAGGGGGAAAGGGTGGCTAGGTCACCCAGTAGTGCCCTTTTACCCCTTTTTTTGCGGGTGGGTTCCCCTGCTAAAATAGACTACAGAAAAAAGGGTACCCTTATTCTAACCTCTTACTGGAGGACCTAGGTGGTCCTTCCACCCAACTGGATGTGCGGGAGAGCGTTCTCATGCTCCTTTGTCAGTGGCGGTATTATCAAAGCCCTTTGCATTGCAGCATGGCTCTTGCAGGCGTAGAAGAAGCCTCTTTGGCACATGACGACTTTGCTCTGCACTGCTGAATGGGCGTATGTGCCACAACGAATCTAGGCACTGCACCCCCTCCTTTATCTTTCCTGGGCAGCTTTCATGGCAGCGCGGGTCCTAGTAGTCACACATAGCTATATAATTTGGCGCAGCCCGTTCAGGCCATGCGTTTGCCACCCTTGTGTTTACCACAACTTGGTGGCTCCCAGCCATCCCCTTAGCTTTTTAGCTTTTTATTTTTTTAGCTTTTTAGTGTTTAGTGGGGTTTTCCATTTAGCCCACTAAAAGTTAAACTTTTAGCGGGGGATCTGAGGACAGCATAGTTTTGCCACCCTTGCGTTTACCTACAGAATGATCTGGTCACGAGTCGTAGGCTGGAGCTTAGAACGAGCGATCCTTGCAGGAGACGTGTCCCTTCAGGACTCTCTTCCTGGTAATCCAGGACTGCCGGTGGTGCGAGGCGAAGGGTGTTTCTGAAGGTGCAAGATCAGGGCCACCCAACCTCTGAAGTTCAGCCTAGCAACTTCACAACCTGGATACCGTTGCCTCAGGACATGATGGCCTTGAAGTATGGTCTACAGCTCGACGAGCCGGACTTTGTCGGCAAGGCGAAGGCCGCCAGCGATGAGCAACCGCAAGCCATCCAGAACTCTCACTCCCTGAGTTCATGAACTTTCGCCACTTTGGGGGTTTTGGCGGTAATCAAAAGGTTTGGCTATATTCCGTGAAACTGTTCTAGAAGATATTCGTGATTTATTGAAATAGAAGAAATCGCAATTGCAATCGTGCCTCCAAACCATATTTTGGATTCGAACATAATTAAATCGGTTCGTAAAGAGTGCCTCCGAATTAGAGCAAGTGGCTGCAAATCCAACATTTTGTTCTTCTCTCCCGGAAGAAGCTCCATCACCCTGTGACTGTGCATTGGTTCACCGCTTGCAGATTTCTGTTGCCCTTGTTTTCAATTAGAAGATATTGTTGCCACCAACACAAGCCGGCCAAAGTGAAGATTCTGCGTTGACAAAATCAAATAGAAGACATTCCCTTTTCAATCAGCAGCTTTTGCATGGTGAAACAGAATCCGGGCAAACAAAACTGGTGGAATTTAAGAAACGGCCCGTCTCGTCTGAGCTTTTCCGGTGGCGAACGATTCGCTGACTCCAGTCCAGTATTGGGCACCTCCCATCCATGCCAAGGGATTGAACCAAAGCGCACAGCAAGCGCTGACAGTGATTGGGTGCAAATGTAGCTGTTGCAAAAAGTCGAAAAACCCACCAGGACATGGACCGCAGGTTAAATAAATGGTCTTTGTTTCCATTTACCAGGGTTCCATGTTGAGTACTTTTTTTGACCGTGACCTACTTCGGTGTCAATTTGGCGGCGGGCAGCTGTCGAAGGATAGGTCCCCCAGCCAGTCGTGCCCGACCTCTCACCCGACTTTTTTTGCTTGGGAGGGGAACCCCCTACTAACGACAGCAGAAAAAAATAGGGCACCCGTATTCCAAACCTCTCAAATCTGGAGGTACCCTTTTTTTGGAGGAGACTAAAATAGACCTCCTGAAAAAAGTTGGTACCCTTGTTGAAACCTCGTTGCTGGAGGAGCTTGGATCACAATCGATTTGGATTGCTGGTTCTTCGGATTGCTGCCTTTGCTTTTGCAAGCCAGTGCCCGCACGAGGCTCTTAGCCCATGCACCGAACTCGATGAAGCTGCATGAGTGGTTCCAGAAGGTTCCATGAGTTTGAACTGGAACCTTAGCTTATCACTTGCTTCTCGCACCTGGCGGTTTTCATCTCCATAGATGAGAACTCATGCCCAATCTCCATGTCTCTAGTCTGAGCCCAAGGGAGGATCGAAGACCAGGCGCTTCGATTCCCGCATATGCCGTAGCCTCACAGACCTTTGGCCTGCGCGAATGGCAGGCGCGAGCGGGTTGCGATTTTGCGATCGATCGCCTCGAAACCTGAAAAGCGATCGGAGTTTGCTCTGTTCGCCTGCTTACCCTCTCGGCAGGTTTGCAACGCTAGGTCCCCCAGTAATGCCCTTTTACCCCTTTTTGGGGGCCTACTAAAATAGACTAGACTACAGAAAAAAAGGGTATTCTAACCTCTCTACTGGAGGACCTAGAATGCTCATTGCGCAAAAGCATCGGCTTGGGCTGGCAAGGATGGTCATCGCAAGCTTATGGATGTACAAGAATACTCAGTGAGGATTTTTGTCAGCCCCAAACATGTTGTGGTAGACGGGCTCAGCTTGCACCAAGGACAAAAACGCGCATGTCATTCTAGAACGCGTCTGTCAGAAACCACTTACACCCAAACTATGACAACTCCGCATGCACGGAGTGGTGACCCTTCCGTTCGCCCGGCCTTCTTGTCCCCGAGAACCTGTCCGGACACTTGCATGTACATGACCTTAGCTAGAATGATAGCTCCTGGCTGAATTGCACTCATGTGGAAACTTATGTATGTTTCCGTGCCTTGTTTCAGGGATCGCTTTTCAATCAAGGTTGCCCAACACCCAGCAAAGTGGAGGTTGATTTCATGAACGCGGACTCCCTGCATGGTGTTCGTGTTGGTTTCCGTTTAAACCAACTTGAAAACCTTCAATGTTGTTGGCATGTTTCTTGTTTTCCCCAGATAGCTGAAAGCTATAGGGCTTGTAACTTCTAGTAAAGAGGGGAAAGTGATTTGCGAGATTCATGGGCTGGTGCTAGGTTTGGGGCTGGTGTAGGTGCTGTTTGGGGTTGCTGATGAGGTTGATGGCTGGGTGCTAGCAGGCATGCAGGTGACGGTGCGGGCGCATTTTTGCAAGAAAGTTGAAAACTCAAACCAACAGTATCCAAAAGTTTCCTCTTCCACCCACCCAAAACGGGTAGACCCAAACTCCGCCCCGTCTCTAAGGCTTAAAGAATTGAGCCATATTTCTCCTGTTGGGGCAGGAAGTACGGGGCAGAAGGACATCCATCAGTATCAATCCAAAATCTTGTTTTGACAACGAGTGGGGGGGGGGTTCTTTTCTTTAAGCCAACAAATGAAAACGAGACACCCCGGACGCCGGGCGCTGCTTTTTTTTTTTTTCTTCTGAGGCCTGGAGCTGAACAGCACGGCCTTGGCGCTGGATGCCTTGATGGAGCCAGACCTGGCCACTCACCGGCAGGGCGCCATGAACGCCCATATGGCTGTGGGTCAATCAATGGTACCATTTTGGGGTAGGTGCACCACCCATTTTAGTCTATTTTAGTTGGGATTTGGATGTTCGCTGGGGGTACGGGATTTTGACCCACAGCCATGTAAAAGACAAACGGCAATGGCCAGGGGGTGATAGCTATGGGCTATCCAAGATAAACCCAAGATGAGCCAAAAAGCTAGATCGTTTGCCGAAATGAATAGGTCTTTGTTATAAACCCCTGTTGGTTTTGAAGAGAATTGATTTCACTACTGCCGTGAGTTACTAAACACCTGCCCCGAAAAGAAAGTTGAAGCGTGCCAGTTCATGGACCGGCCACGAAAAAGGGGGAGGCTATCCCGGAGAAGCCCATGCAGAGAAGCCAATATTCAAAAAAAATGTGCCTTTTGCTGAAACGAATCTGTTTTTGTGCTGAACCCCTCGTTGGTTTCCGCGGGGGCCGGTTTCGCTGGCCATCTCGGCTCGGTTTTGCTCAGGGGACTGGAGCTAACGGAGCCAAAGGTCGGAACCCAGGGCGCGTCTCGGGTGCCCCAAAGCATGGGTTGGTTGAAAGGGAGGCCACAAGGAAACCGGCCATTCTGGGGGTTGCCCAATTTTTCCCCTATTTTAAGACATACCCATGTGAATTGGTTGGTATATCCAACACTTGGACCTTGGGCAACCTGCCAAAAGAGCGCCCAAAACGAAGCCACCGGCCCCTGTGAAATCGAGCGTGTGTCATTTACTTGTATGCTGCTTAGGGGTAAAGATATTCTCATGCAAAATCGGTTACATTCATAGCTGGTTACCTTTAGTTGGTTTGGATTGGTGGTTCGGGGATTTGAACCCACTCCAAACCAGCAAGCCACCAAGCCACCAATCTAAACCACCAAATAGTGGGAAACATATATTCTCACTTCCTGAGTTCATGAACTTTAAACTTTTTGGGAAGACCATTTTAGTGGGAAATATAAAGTTTGGACTTTTTTGGGGCCATCCACTCAGCCAGTGAGTATTTGATGGTTACGGACATCGCTTCAGCCCTTTCAGTACGGCATATTCCTTCGAACGGCTCGGTGAGGTCCCGAGCCGATCTCTGGCTTGGCTTTGGCAAACGGTGGCAGCGACTTGGCACAAGCGGAACGGGCATGGGCAGGAGACCAACGGGTGGTTTCCTCTTCCGAGGTGGGTGTTATTGGACAAAAATGCATGGGTCCCGAAGTGTGGGTTTGAACCCTGCGAGAAATTGCAGAGCTTGTTCCGCAAAAGGTTGGTACAAGGAGACACTGCAGCAGACTGGTATAGAAGTGAAGCAGGAACAGAAGTGAAGCAGGATACGCGTCACTTTCATGTTTTAAAGGTGAACCTAGCTTCAATCAGAGAGAGTGTAGACGGGAACACTGGCGGTTAAGGTTGTTTCGGAGGGTTCCGCAAAGGAATTTGTGCTGGATTGGCGGCAGTCGCGAACGCAAAGTGAATAAAGCACGCGTGTGCGTTCTGTTTCAACTGGCTTTTGGATATTTTGGGCTGATTGTGTTGGTTCTAGCTGCTAGCTCAATTTGTAACTTACTCCCTGAGTTCCTGGACTTATGTTTCTTTTTTTTAAAGACAATTTTAGTGGTAAACGCAACAATGTCTTGTTTCGGCCATCCACTCAGGAAGTGAGGTAAACTGCTAGCTACTTCTTGTCACTGGTCAGGATTTGCTCAAGCGAAAGGCAGCCGACCTTTCGACTTCGTGCTGCTACTTGTGCTTGCTAAGACGTCCAGAAAGGTTACCCTACTGACACATCTAAGGGGTCACCTACGGTCACCTCCTCATTGTCGCAAGGGGGGGCCTGTTTTTCTTTAGTAGCACAAGCGGGGGGGGGATAAAACCGTGATGTCACATTTCTCCGCGCACTACCTACAACGAGCTCACCTGGGGGGTGAGCTCATCATGAAGGTTCCGCTATTTAGCTCAGGCACCCTCCCACCAATTAACATGGAACTTGACAGGGGGTCCCTCTAGAAGGAAAACTGTCTTCCAGGACCCCCTGTCAGGTTCCATGTTATTTGGTTGGGGAGTAGTTCCCTAAGGGTCATGACCCCCTGGTTTCATGGAGACCCCCGACCCCCCCCCCCATGGGCCCTCACAGACAACTCATTGTGAGGCCCCAAGATCAATCCATCCCCTTAGCCTTTTAGATCCTTCCTTTTAGCTGGCTTAGTGGCAGTTTCCGAATTTTTCACCCACTGAAAGTTAGTCACTTTCAGCGAGGGATTTGAGGGCAGCCCAGGAGTAGTTGTCGAAGTCTAGGTCCCCCAGTAGTGCACTTTTACCGTTTCTTTTTTGGGAGGGTTCACCTACTAAACTAGACTACAGAAAAAGTTGGTACTCCTATTCCAACCTCTCTACTGCAGAACCTAGCTGCATTCATTTGTGCAACTGTTTGAAAGGAAGCTTT